CAATTTCATTTTCAACAGGAAGACAATATGTATAATTTAAATTCAATAATTGATAAAATTAAATTAAATTTTTATTTTTTTTAATAATTAATAAAAAACTATAATTAAAACATTAATAATTTGTGCCTAAAGCACAAATTAAAAAGAAAAAAGGATACTTAATTGATTGACCTAGAGTTTCTTCGGAGTAGTTAAGGCATAGCATTTGTCATTGATGACTTTAACCCATGTGATGAAGGAAAATACCCCCGAATTTCAGCCCCATAATTAACACAGCTAAGCTGCATTTTGCTGCAGATGACCCTTCTTCACCAAGGTCGTTTTCCATCAAATTAGGAAAATGATACTGTATCATTAGAATGACGTGGACAAATCAGAATCTGCCGACACCATTTCTAGAAGTTTGACTCCCCCGTTCGGTAATAAAACGATGCGAACATTGTCGGCCTGCATGATTTTTAAGGTAAAATGTAAATATCTTACCTAAAACTCAGCTTACGTCTCTGGTTTGGAACGCTGTTTGTTTGAACTTGGTTACCTCTCAGTCACAGCTGCCAAGGAAATAAGGCTGCCCTTCAACAGAAAGCAGCCTTATTTCGGGTAAAACTAAAACGAAAATTAATTCATGATAATTAATGCATTAGATCTTAATACAGCAGAATTCCATACACACATTGCTTCTCATAAGAAAAAAGGAGAAATAACATTTAATATATACTTGAAATTACAATTTCAACAGTCTCTATATATATAGATATAAATCTAACCCTTATTTTCATAACAAGCTTACATCAGAGATTAAAAAAACTAAAATTATAATTAATACCCAACTACATCTACAAAAGCAAAATCTTCATAAAACTCTTCGAACAAAAAGGTAGTCACCTTATGGAAAGCTTCTTAGCATCAAAATGATACTCACACCTTGGGGAGGAAACATAAACCTCCAGTAAATATAAACAGTTGTCTGCCAATTATGTAGGTAAAAGCCAAGATGTAACTACCAAATAGAGTCAAGATATTGATTATAACGCTTGCGATTGAATTCTAACAAGCTACCATATGTGCGATCTGCAACCCCAACAAAGAGAGCTTCTGTGTCTGGGCTAAACGATATTCCAGCAATCTCCCCAAATAGATCGATTTCCTGGCAATTGACATAACCAGATTCTGTGTCAAAGACGTGAACAAAATCTGCTGGCTCAGCCATGCCCAAAAATCGACCATTTGATGTGAACTTGAGAGCTCTAATTGCCCCCATCCTCCCTTTCAATACAGCTAGAGACTGAGATAGGTTCCTTATGTCCCATAACCGGCAAGTAGTGTCCTGATTCCCAGTAGCCAGAATTCGCCCATCTGGATGCCAAGCTGAAGCAAAAGAATAGTCCAAATGCCCTTTCAGGCTTCCGGTTACCTACATTGTGTAAACAAATTAGCCTCTGGGAACAAGTAGATCTAAAAGCATATCAAGTCAATTGGTCACAGCAGCCGGCAGGGGAATGATATACTTTTCCAGACTGAGCATCAGCTATCAGGCACTCGACACTGTCCCCAAGCAGAGCTAGCAGTTTTCCATCTGGACTAGCTGAGGTGTTCTGCAAAGAAAACCACCAAGTTTTTCGTAAGCTTGTGAGAAGGAAAAGACTAGATAAAATTTAATAAATTGAAATCAAGAGCAACTTACATTTACAGACCAGTTGAATGAAAAGCAGTTAAGGCAAGCAAAATTTTCAGCATCAAAAATCCTAACTTTAGCATCATTGTTTGCTGCCACAACTCTCATTACACCGCTGTAAAGACAAGGTTTAGTGGAATGACATTCTAATTGTCATCAAGTAACTTCTAAAATTCCCAGCCAGAGAGTAGTTAGAGTTAACTCACCTAGGGTTACGGTAGATATCCACAGCATTGGTGATAGCATTCTCATCTGTAGTTAATTTGGTGCAAAATGCAACGCCAGGTTGGTTTATATACTGATCAAGATAACAAACACTCAAAACTGTTAGTTAAACAGAAGCAACTGATCAAATAGGAAAGGCTTCAACCTAGCTACACTTACCTTGCAAATAAGTTCCCCCTGGAAACCCCCAGCAACCATCAAGTTCTCTTTAACTGTCATAGTGCTTATCTGCACTCTAGAGAGTGACCGAGACAACAAGCCAGGACGTTTCTGTAAACATAGAAAGAAGGAAAAGAAACCTTAGGCTTCTCAAAATCAGGCAAAAGTATTGTGTCCACACTTGGTAACTGAGAAGCTATACATACAAGTATTGGAACAATTTGTTTAGCCACATTCAACACTTCTTTTCCCCTGCATAGCAGGGATGACCAATGCATTATTGCGTAATTCTGCATAAGGTATACATTGTGCTTTGATGTTGCCCATAACAAATTCCTCAGCTGCTCAAAGGAAATAAACCAACTGATGACTGTTATAACAGCATCAAGAAAATAAATTGAAACTTAATTGTCCAATCAAAATATGCAGTGTTGTATGGCATATAGAAGCCCATGGTAGACCACACAATGACACTCAAATTTGTAGCAATCATAGGTCTAAAAATGTGGGCAAATAATCTGAACAAACCACAAAAGCAAATGGCAAAAACACACATGAGAAAACAATGATAACATCCTCTTAAAAAATTTGACCCCTTGAGCACCATCCAAAACAAGGAAGTTAAATCAAAGGAGAAAAAAAATTGTAAATGCAGAATAAGACCTTTCAGGGCAACCCAAAAGAACCAAAAAAAAAAAAAAAAGGAGAGCTAACTTTAGCCACAAAGGAGAAAAATGACATAGAAGTAAAAATGAAAATATAAGTATACTGCAAAAGCAGTATGAACTAGTAAGGACCCAAACAATGAACTTTATCAAGAAGAAACTAATTGGGTTTGGGTATTCATCCATCCAGAAGGGCTAGGTTGAAAAAACAAAATGATTATTAGGTATTTAGGTTACAGACATTTTCACAAAAGTTAAAACAATAAACAACGGGAAAAACTAATGGCAATAAGGTGGACAGTAATAATTCTCCTTCCCCCGGCATTCCCCACCAATAAAATAAAAAAAATAAGGCAGCCAAAATTAACCACAGAAATTTACACAAGAAAACTATGTGAATCAGAGTGATAACACAAATTTACTGGGATGCAACTAAGCACATATTTTAACATGCAACAGATGCCGTACAGATACTACAAACTCAAGGGTACACTGTACAACCCAAAGAAAGAAAAAAAAAATGCAAATCTAATTCAACATCCATGTGAAGCACACTATAAGAATGATAAGAGACAATAAATCAAGTAAATGCAAGTGGAGTTCATGCACCTAAAAACATGATAAATGGAGTTAGCTACTATGGTTTTGATAACACTGCATGCATCCACAAAATCTAAAACTATCTAACAGAATGAAAGCTTCAATTAGCCCCCGTAAGGCCATCTCAGCCCACTAAAATTACAGTAATTGCTACAGAGGCCTCTTAAATGCTCAAACATTTTCCTATCATACCATAAATATGTATCTTTAACGCGCCAGCTGCCCAGAACAACTCCCAACCTGCTTTAAAGGCTGAAATAAGAGACAAATAGAAGTCCTAAATGCAGGTTAATCCATGTCAACATAAACAATGTATTTCCATCCACAAATTATGAGGGAAATGAAAATTCTGTGATGATGCAAGAATACAATTTAACTATCAAGGCTGCTAACCTGAAAGGTAATGACATATTAATCCATCTACAATGTGGCAAGAAAAAATAAAATAAAAAATACCTACCCTGTTGACAAGCATTGCTAGCACCTGATGATTTGAAGAATAAACATTAAGAGAAATATAGCAATGATTAAGCTTCAAGCTTTCAAAACCATGGGACTCCAAACTTTCATAACTAACAATTCCTCTAAGAATGTGACTTAATAGAATGCTGGATTGAGGCAACTCAAAACCATGTCTCATAGAGTGTCAAAGTCAGCCTTAATTCTAAATATTGCACTGCTTGGTCGATGTATGCAGGGTGTGATCCTATAATGCATGTGTAATGTTTAGCTCACAAAAACTGTTAACAAAAGCAAAAATCTTAACTCATACCACAGTCATGAGGCAATGCTATCCATAATCAAGATTGTACCTCTGCAAATAATGCTTTTAAATTTTATTAGTTGTATAAATTTAGCATGTGCAAGTACAAATCTGCAGAAAAAGGATTCAGTGAATGGAGATCCCAGCTTGATGCCTTTAGCTGGATGAATCAACACATTTTAATTAATAAAAAGAGGGATCTCAGAGAAAATGTTAATAATTTCACGTAAAAAAATAAAAAAGGACATATGCTTCATATCAGGAGAAGATTGTATCACCAGTTTGATTTGCCTGATCAAGGTTGTAATTATGACCTCACTGGACCATAAATAAATCTGGAGCAGTTCTCAAACTTAGCTGTTGTCAAGTTATTTACATCCCACATAATTAATCACTGAGGATAAAAACCTACTGAAACCTAAAATCAGATTGAGTGGCTGTGAACTCCATACCTTCCAATGAATCAAAAATGTTTGAAGCACAAAGCTATAATCAAATCTAACAGTAATTGGATGATGAAAGAGGAACATAATAGCCAGACAAGCAAACCATGAGTGCATAAATAATGAAAGGTTACAGCAGAAATAAACCTGGACTCAAACTATGATTATGAATGACAACAAAGACAAGATCCATCTAGGCATGGAGTCCAAGCATGAAATAAAAGTTTAGTTGAACACTGTAAGACCCGCATCCATAATGTAAACGACAAGCTAACATGTTTTAAATGCAAGAACTATAAAATTGAAGATTGAATGCAACATGTAAAGTGATGTGCCTTAAAAAGCCAACAACCTATTGACCCTTGTGATTTTAAAATTTGCAAACTCTGTTAAAATAAACTCTTATAAGTTATGACAAATAAAACATCAATAGTAAAACAATGAAATGCATCTGCCTTAGACATAAATTGGGAACAATTTCACACACAGAAAGCAGATCCATTAAATAGGTTACGGTAAGAAGCAACATCTCTACCTGAAAATGCACAATTGTGGATTTGACCAGCCTTGTGTTGAACTGGAAGTCATAGAACGTCTTCCCCTTCCCTACTTGCAAGCAGTCCTGTAAATATCATTAGCAAAAACATAACTAAATCCATCAAAACTTTAAATACAAAATAGGAACATATAAACTGCATCACAATGTCATCTTTGCACCTTTACATATGAGAATTAAGCTTTTGTTAAAATAATAGAAAAAGAACAAAAATCGAATTTCCTTGCGCAATTCATTGGAACAGAATGTACGGAAACATGCCTTCTCAATCTCTTCACGAGAGCAAGAGAGGTTCTGGTAATTCCTGTATTGTCTCAATCTCATCTCACGGTACTTGTCTCTGGTGAAATTAAGCCTCTCCCAAGGAATTCCCTGAATATCTTTTCCATTTCTAGCTTCCAATGCCGAGGTATCGGTCTTCGACTTACTCTGTAAACCACGCAACCGCCAAGGAAGACGAATCCCATTCATGAGCAACATAATCTTTACAAGAAAAACAGTGAAAAACCGAAATCTATGAAACCCAAGACATTAAGAAACGTACACTTTCAAAATCGTCTTCGAAGTCCGAATCAGGTGAATCGAAGTCGCCGTTGTTGCTTTGAGGCTCCGGCTCACCGAAGGGATCATCGTGCTCGAAATCAGTGACGTCGTAGTAGTCATGAACGACGTCTTCGAGACCGCCGTTTTGAGAGTGATTCATTCTTCTACAATTAGAAATAAACAAGATCAGCGGAGGAGCATAACCTTAAACTCAAGTGGCTGGTGTTGATCAAGAGTCGAGCTAGTGAAATCAAATCACAGTCAAGAAATGCACTAAATACTGGAAAAACAGAGAAAACTAAAGAATCTAGCTTCACAAACAGTTTTTTAACAATCAGGATAAAAATGCATGCATCAACATGGAAAGAACTAGAAATTACCTCTGAATTTCGGTACAAGGCAGAATCAAGAAGAAATACAGAGATTTAGAAAAGCAGGTAGGTGAGAACGCTACTGAAGCAGAGAAAACAGAGCAGAAACAGCGGGGATCAAAACGAGGAGATAAGGACGACAATGGCAATAAAACTTGCGTTTTCGGACAAGAGAAGAGTCCGAAAAAGGTACGACAACGGTAACGAGAGGATGAAGACGGAAAAGCGGAGGAGGTATCTAGATTTTGTTTATAGGGTGCTAAGAAAAGAAGCAACGAACTAAGAATAGGTGGTTTAAATAGAAGAAATTTGTTACTTAAATAAGGTTTTATATTTAAATTTTGTAAATAAAAAATTATTTTTAAATTTAAATTTTATAAATAAAAATATATATATTAAGAGAGTTACTTGTAAATTTAATACAATTTGATTTTAAATTAATTCAATTAAATGTGATTATTAAATAACAGAAAATTAATACAAAAAGAAAAAAAAAGCAACGGAATTGATCCCCGGGGTGCTACTTATAATGATGGTTTTTTTTGGTAGAAACTTATAATGATGGTGCGGGTGGAAGTTACGAGCCTACGAGTTAGTAGGGGTAGGGAAGAGTGGACCTTCCCGTGGACCCATATGGAAGATTAAAGAATGGAAATATAATTTTTATATATTATTAAATAAATAAATAAATTTAATATTATAAATTTTAAATAAATAAAATAAATTAATTATTTACCTGACATATAAATTATATAAAAATAATAAAAAAATTATTTTTTAAATTATTTGTTTTAAAAAATAAAATTCGCTAACTAAAAAATAATAACGTGTTTGTTTGGCATGTAGCTTTTAAAAATAAATTGCAAAAATCGTAAAAAAATAAATGACTTGATTTGATTTAGAAGAATAAATTGTTGGCATGTAAATCTACATACAATATAAATAATCATAGAAAGTAGTTATTAGATTTTATTGCCATTTTTTCATAAAAAAGATAATCTAAACATTTTATCAAGAAAATGGCATAATCAACTATAAAAGGAAAATAAGGGATTATATGAAACTGATTGCTTTTATATAATTTTTTTTAAATCTTTAAATTAAAATTTTGTGATTAATAAATGTAAAATAAGTAACAAATTCCAACTCAACTAAATTCTCTTTCTTTTTTGTTAGCGGCTTCCTTGTATTCTTTTTCTACAGCGCAAGCACGCTTTAAAGATGGGTGGCTGTGGGGTCCAGCGCAATTTCTCAATCTAACCGGCGTTCATCGCCGTTTAAAATGTAACGGGACCGGGTTCCTTTACTCGAACTGGACCGTTAGTTTTGCTGTTTGGCACATTTAGCTTGCGCCGAATGTGGGTATTAAAAAATCTTTTTATTTAGGCCATTTCAGTATGGTTAAATGCTAATTTTAGTCCCTCAATTTTATAGTATTGCATAATTTTCATCCCTCAACTGTTTTTTACACTTTTTGACCTCTCAACTTTAAAAACCACACAATTTTAGTCCCTTCACTAATTAGGTAACTAGTCCAAGTGGCATTTTTTTTATTTGTTTTAATGATGTGGATAAATGATGCGTCCTTATTAATCCTATTTGAAAAATTAAGGAACTCACTTGCTTAAATTAATTATTTATTAAATTAAAATATTTTTAAAATAACAATTTTACCCCTTACTCCATCATCTACCTTTGGTCTCCTCTTTGTTTCCCAAATTCAACTTCCCCTTTTTTCTGGCTTACCTATCTCCATTCTCTAGTGCTCTCTTTCTCTTCCTTCTTCTTTGTCTCGATACTTCAACCTAACTTCTCCTTTCTCCTTTTGTATTCATCTTCCTCCCAACTCTAGTGCCTTTCTTTGTTCCTTTTCTAGCGCCCCTCTTCTTTACCTCTCTCGCCTGCTCATTATTCCATCCACATTATAGAACCTAGCCATTTGGGTTCATTTGAACCTAGATTTGGGTTTCGTGGGACCCAGTAATCTAGGTTTGTTTGAACCTAGTTTTGGGTTCCATGTAACCCAGCAACATGGGTTCAAGGAACCCGAATTTCTAGGTTTTCAAACTCATGTTTATAGATTTTTTTTTATAAATAACTCTAGCAATTTCTATACATATATTAAACCCTTCTATTTGATGGATTTTTGTTTCAAATATTGTGGTTATGAGATGGCAATTTAGTATTATGAATGTTGTAAAATTTTGTTTATATGTTTTGGTTTGGCTATTTCTCTTATGAGTATATGATCATTAAATTGGATTAAAATAATATAGATTTTCAAGGTTTTGGTTTGGTTTTGTTGTAAGGTTAATTGTTAGTGTTGAAGAAGAACTTTCCAAGGGAGAACTTTATTAAATCTTGGTTTTGATTTTGTTGTTAGATTTCATTTTTATTTTGTGCAATCAAAAAGATTATGTTTGTTTGGTACAACTTTAATTATAATTAATAATTTTAATTATATAAGTTAATGGATTTTTTTTTTCTAACATTGTTGTATAAGTCTTTATACAACTATGTAAGCATTTTTTTTCAATTGGATTATCCATATCATTAAAAAACATTTTAAAAATGTCACGTGGATTGAGTTAATGGCAAAGGAGTCAATACCGTATCGGCATGCGTATCGATTTTGTTACTGGAACGATACGTATTGAATATCAAAATTTTTCACGTACTATTTCGGATTTATCGTTATAAATATATATTTTTATAAATTAAATATTAAATTTTAAAATAAAATAAAGGATACTAATATTTAAAACCATTATATTTCTATAAATTGAAAACAAGTTTAAAATGATCATTTTTAATCCCTCAATTTCTAATATATGCATATTTTTTATCCATCCATTTTAAATTAAGGGATTAAAAATGTGTATATTTGGACAAATTTAACAAAATAATTGATAGAAGGATTAAAAAAAATATGAAGAATGGATTAAAAAAGTATATAAAATGTAAAACATTAAATTTGAGGACCAAAAAGAAAATTTACTCTTTTTAAATTTAAATTGAGTTATACGAACAATTTTTGTGTACCGGCTGAAATTGCAATTGCAAAAAGCCCCTATTGGATTCCTTTTTTTATTTTTTCAATTTGCTAGTGTGTACCGATCGAAATTTCGGTGAATCGACCGATACATCGAAATTTTGACCAAATCAATCAAATTTTAATCGAAACGAATTTTCATATTATACCGTTTCAATCAATATCAAAAATCGATATGTATCAGCCATACCAATCGGTACGGTACAAAATCAACTTCTTTGGTTAACGGCCTTAATTGATAGAAGGAATAAAATTATGTGGTTTTAAGAGTTGAAGGATCAACAATGTGCAAAAAATAATTAAGGGACAAAAATTATGCAACATATCAAATTAAGAGACCAAAATTAACATTTAACCTTTTAATTTTGTAATTTTATTATTATTATTATTATTATTGTTATTGCATGATCCTGATGTTTTTTTGGTTCACGCATTTTGATATTGTTCAATTTCAAATCACATTTAAGGCTTGGTTTAGTGGAATTGAATCGTACTACATTGTGTTATGATAGAATATTTTTTTTATCTCTTTATTATCTAAAAATA